CTATCCGGTTCCGTAAACTCGATGAATATTCATGAGCATTCCTTTGCGGCCCGAGAGGCCCGGAGTATAGTTATTATTATTCCGACCATGAAGCCGCCATTGCTGTTTAGCTGTTTTTTTATTTAATTTAAATACGATACACAATTTTCCTCTTCGCTTGCTTACAAAGTTTTCTCGTGTTTTTCACCAAAACTGTCTAAAGTTGATAATAACGAAAACGTTTGAACCACACTTTTAATGGCGTTTTCCAAATGCCGTTTACGTGCAATGAATTCGTTTCATACAATATTACTTAATTTAATTATTTATGTTATAGTCGATGTACAAAATGATTTGTCCGACGCTGCATCGCTGTAGCTGCAGACACTAAAATTTGGTGATTTTTATTATGTATTTCACATCACAAACAAAGTTAATTTTAATCACCTAAATTTATATTGCCTTACGTTCGGGTATACGAGTGTACCTACTTTAGATTTTAATTTAATAGACAGTGCAGTCTACAACCTATCATTGGTATCGAGTCCCGTTATATTATATTATGTTACTAAAAAAAACTTAATAATAATATGCTGAGAATATGTGTGCAGGTATCGAAAATACCAAGATGTCTCATTATTATATTCCGGTAATTGGTATCAACTTTTTAAATACTGTGTGGCCACTGGCCAGTCATATTTTAACCTGTGCCTATGTCGTTACTGCAAAAGAACATTTTTGCATTTCGTTATTAATTAAAATATTTTTATTCTTTTGAATGACTATAATTGACAATATGCGTATTTACACCTTACAGCTTTTAACCTCATATTCTGATTGAGAATTCTCTATTATTCGGAATATTTTGATGTATAAAAATCAAATTTTGGACAAGTATAGGTAGTAAGTTTATTAGTTATAATTTATAACAAATAAGGATATTTTGAGAAGTCACCAACATTTTGATGGGTATTCCCCCTACATAATAACACTGTATTACCTTTCCACCATAACTCATCTCAACTTTAAATATTTAAACCGCCTATAGCACGATAACTATACTGACTCCTACAAAATTAGATTTTCCTACACCAAAGTACTCCAAAACAGTATCCCGGGTTGGAATAATGAATTTCAAATGCATGTTAAAAATGTAATGTTTAAAAATCTTAACCATAAAATAGAAAAAAATATATTTTTTAGAAAAACTATATGTTTTAACCATATAGTTTTTAAAATTTGAGTGTCTTACGTCAAATGGACCAACTGGGTTATATATAGGTACCTATATACAATCAAATTGATGTAGTGTGTATAGTGTATACTGCATAATATGCGTAATAATAATACATAATATATACCTATAATAATAATAGACATCGCCGAGGCTTATAATCAGATTAGAATATATGCTTGCTTTGTGTTTGCATTGTATTCGTGCAGGTCATAGTCCGCGTATATACAAAACGTCATATTATTAATAATAAACAATACATTATAACATGTATAATGATGATAATAAGCTCAGCTATGTATACATATATTGTTGTATGTGGTCGATCACGAGGCGATAAACGATTTTTGCCTAATTCGATATTTTATATAATATTTATGTATATTATATAGCTGGTCGAGGTCGTCGTCGTATTTAAGTATATAACAAGCTCACGGGGTTGTATAATAATGTGCGCCGCCGCCGTCATTGCATGTATTATGCGCTTTTGCTGCGGCTGCACGATGACATTGACGCGCTCACCGCGGGGCAAAAAGGGGTTTAAGTACGCAGCTCAATCGTCGGGTGCGCTAATATGCAGTACACGACGCGTATACTTGTATATATAACATATAAAACGCACAACTCGCGTAACCAAATTATTGCTCGCTGCTGCAGTCTCCCCCGGACCGGCGTAATAAAAGTAAAAAAAAAAAAAAAAATACAGAGAGAAAAAAGTGACCTTATACATGTTTTCCGTCACATATGGCCCGGTTCAAAGGCGCGGCGGTCTCTCCTTTCAAATTCAATATATATTGCCACAATGGATGGACACGGTTACACATATATTATTGTTGTCAGCCTTTCATTATGCCGCGTACATGTTATTATTATTATTATTTCGCGAGCGTGTATACATGTACGTATATACATGGGTAAGTATGCATTTAAATATATATATTATACACAGTATATACATATGTGTGATTTTTGTTGTGTACGGCGATGGGTGTGGTTTGTGTACACATACGGTATTAGTGCTTATATGGTATATATAAATATATAGTAAGTATAGGACGTCATTTATATTTAATACATATATATATATATATATATATTATACCCTCGTAGCGCAACAACCGTTTGAATGCTTATAAAAATATTATATGAAACAAAAACCACGTATTTCGAGTCCGCGAATAATAATCCCGGCATGATCATGATATATTTTTTATACACCCGAATATCTTGTATACAATATATAATACACCTACCGCAGCTATATGTACTTAATATTCATCCTGCAGATCTGGACGACGAGGAAAAGTTCTCTGTACAATATATATATAAATATATAATACATGGCCATGTAGATTGGTATATGGTCACGTAATAGTATATTATAGATGCTATAACAAACTATATAATCCTTATATATTAACTATATATATATATGTCTGCAGCTTGCCCCAAATATATATTTTCTGATAAGGGTGCAAGTTGGTTTTAGTTTTTGATACCTAAGCGAGATTTATCGTAAACTTCAGAGCTGACCGTAGTGTACTAGCTGGTGCTGTGCATATATATAAATATACAATGTACCTATTTATTAAGTATTATAAATAACAATATAGTATGATATATTATATGCCTCAACTTTTAGGCAACTCTTATTTCAGTCAATATTTACCAGTAAATAATAATACTGTAGGTAATATAATCTATAATGAATTATTAAATTATGTATATAGTATTTTGTTTTCAAGCAAATTCAATAATGAATAGGAATAACAAATTATTATGTGTATACCTACCTATAATATTGGTCAGGGAGCACAATTTCAATGAAAAATTGCGGGTACTGAAACCATATATTTTTTCTGTTAGTCTTCTATATAAATCACTGATAACACAATATAAGACATTTTGGAAACCCCTTACCCAATTCAATAATAATTGGCTATATAGTATTATAGGCGTAGAGCCCTAATAGTGATCAAAGTCTAAACTCTATGAGGTATAAATATAATAAGCTTGATCGATATATCTACGAATTGCAGAAGTAAATATTATGATACTAGAAGCTCATGTATATAGGTTGTACAACGTATATTTTATATTGTAATTATTATTATTTTTTTTTGTGTTTTCAAAGGGTTTCACTTTATATTTAATTTTAAAGTTTCAAAGTTGTATAGAAAGTTCTTGAAGTTATTTGCCAAATGCTAATAAAGGTTTTTTTTATGTTTTTGAATTCCAGATTTTGTTTGTCGTCTTACCCTACCTCATTCGTCCTTTAACAGCCCAACCCCGTAGATGGGTTAAGATGATAAAAATTATATTTTTTGAGAAAACCCGGCGCTTGTTGTCCTTTTAAGGATGATAAAGCCAATTGAAAAAATACATGGTATTTGCATAGGTAGATATTAGATAAAATGGTATAGAAATTGTCATGAGAATTTCAGTTCACAAATCTATATTAACAGTGGCCAGGAAAAATCGTTGACGCTTAACCTTATCGTCTTAATTCGCCTATTCTCTAGTATATTCGTATAACCTAATATTATAAATTGCAATCATGTATAGCACTTCAAAAGCGGACCGACACTCCGTATGCGAGATCACCTATGCCAACGAGTAATAAAATCCATAAATCTCAAATATTAATTATTTTATTATGCCTGTCTAATTTGTAAACTTGTCAAGTTTAATCGTACATGTTATATTGTATTATATACAGGATCGCATACCTATACCTTGCTTTATTTTAATAGTATATTCGTATAGGTATCACATCACCCACACGCGTAGGTGCACCTATTATAGTGGAGATTTTCGTTCACGATATCCAGCAATCTCAAAGAGAAACTATAAACGAAAATTTGTTTTTTACCATGTATAAGCACACACATACACACATAGCTATTATGATATTATTTATATTCCTACTAAATCTGTCTTCCTCTCGTCCGTTCGAGTGCGCCCCTTTCGTTACATGTATAAATAATAATATATCGCCGTCGCAACCCTCTCTCTCTCTCTCTTTCTTTCTCTCTCTCTCTCTTTCTCTCTCTCTCTCTCTTTCTCTCTCTCTCTCTCTGTATATTCGCGTATACCTCTGGCGCTCGTCCGAAATGTTGGTATAATAATAAAAATATACATAATACGACCGGCGGGACTGCCGCGGAACGGTAACTCGCGGGCGGTGTGCGGCGGCGGAGCGGTGCACGCAATGGGGCGGCGCCCGACCGGGCCAATCGGAGCGCCGACCGGCCGTCACGCCCAGAAACTATCGGTCGCGTCGCTGAATGTTTACCCGTGTTTTCTCCCCTCGACACGCACGACGACGGTAACGGTGAAGTGGTGGGAGGGGGAGAAACACGGAGAAACTACGTGGAGAGAATAAACCGCGCGCGAGACACACCGTTGCGGAGAGAGAGAGAGAGAGATAGAGAAAGAGAGAGTGAGTGATGGTGACGGTAACGGTAACTGTGACGGATTGGTGACGAAAAGGAGCGCAGAAATCGAAACACAGAAAACGTACATCACGCATACACACACACACACACACACACACACACACACACACACACACACACAGGCATATATACGTGCGCGGGGGAATGAAAATAAAACAAATTTGTATATATTTACGCACGTACGCTCGGCGGCGGCCGCTTCGATGTTTGTGTATTTGTTGTTGTACCGCGGCGCGACCGGCCGGCGGTGGGGAGAGCGGCAGCGGCGCGTCGTAGGCGTACACCAATAATAATCGCGCGCGTATAGAAGATACGTGTGTACCGCCGCGGACAACGCGTGTGCAGCGCTGTCGTTGTATATTCATTCGCGACCGTACCGCCGTCATGTGCAGCAGGGCCGCCATCACCACGTCCGCGGACGATCAGCTGCAGCAGGGTTCGGAATCCGGCGCCGCTGCCGCAGCCGCCGACTCGTCGCAGCAAGCAAACCTCAACCGGTACCGGTTGCACCTCTACAATTACGCGCTGCAGGCCGAACGGCTGCGGCTGTCGGGCGGATGGGGCGCCGTGTGCCCCGTCTATCCGGCAGCGGCCGCGGCCATCTACCAGCCACGGTTTCCCGTTGCGTTGTTCCATCCCAACGGCGGTGGCGGCGTGGCCGGTGGACTGCAGACGGCCGACGAGCCCAAGCCGCAGCACAGCTACATCGGACTGATCGCCATGGCCATACTCGGGTCGGCCGAGGGCAAGCTCGTGCTGTCCGACATCTATCAGTACATACTGGACAACTACCCGTACTTCCGGACCCGGGGTCCGGGCTGGCGCAACTCGATACGGCACAACCTGTCGCTCAACGACTGTTTCGTCAAGGCCGGCCGGTCGGCCAACGGCAAGGGCCACTACTGGGCCATACACCCGGCCAACGTGGACGACTTTAAGAAGGGCGATTTCAGGCGCCGGAAGGCCCAACGCAAGGTTCGCCGGCACATGGGCCTGGCTGTGGACGACGACGGCAACGACTCGCCCAGTCCGCCGCCGCCTCCACCACCACCACCGCCGCCGCAGACCATGCAGCAACAGCACCACCATCACCTGCACCATCATGTGCAGCAGCATCACCACCAGCAGTCGCAACATCTGCACCACCAGCAGCAGCAGAGGTCACCGCCGGCCTTGTGGCAGTCGTCCGCGGCTGGTCACCCACATCACCCGTTCTACTTCCAACCGGTCGTCCCGCAGCCCACGGCCGTTCTGCAGCAGCATCAGCAGCACTTGCAGCAACAGTCCGCGGCGCTCTTGGTGCCGGCCAGGGCACAGAAACGACAGTTCGACGTCGCGTCGCTGCTGGCGCCAGACCCGCCGAAACGGATGTTGCAGCAGTTGCACCGGAACGATCCGATGATGGCGTTGGCCGCGACCGCCGGCGCCGGCAGTAGCGACGACGACGACGAGACGATGACGTGCGGCGGCCGAAACGGCGGCGGTGGCGTCTGGGAACCGGCGGGCCTGCTGCAGCGGTACTACGAGCAGCAGCTGCAGGCCGCGCACCGGTTGCACGCGTTCCGCCAGTCGTTGGGCCTGCAGAGGATGATCGGAGGTGGCCCGTGGCCGACCGTCATCGTTCAGGACCGCAACCAGACGCCCACGCCGCCCTCGCTGCAGCCGTACGCCGAGGCCACCACCCCGACGCCCGAAGACACCGTCTGCAAAACCGAACTAGTCGACTGAGGTAAACGCTACCGTTTTCCGATTTTTTTTATTTTAATAATATTATATTTTATATTGTATACTAAATATACCTCTACGCCTTTACGGACTTGCCCGCGTCGACGTCATCGAGTGCGATGCAACGATTTACAATTTCATTTTAATATAAAGTCACACTGCACCCGATTTCGCGAAAACCCAACCTAATTTACTGTCTGTCGTATGTTCCTGATAATGTGTACCAAACCATCATATTTTATTACTAATATCAGCTTATATTTTATGTAGGTAATCTATATAAGGTATTCGCATATAGTTCTAACTAGTTTCTGGTTAAAGTCGCTCTTAAAAATCATCAACAATATACTTAGGCTCAATTTCAATGAAAAAACTTGGGATGCCGAAGCATCCGATTTTCTTAAAGTTAGTTCGCTCAAATGGCGTAAATTATAAAGGTGCTACTTTCAAAATTGAGGGGGATACAATAACCTCCCCCCCTCCCCCAAGTTGCGCCTACACGACAGTGATAAGTTCGGAATCTTCTTCCATCTTCGCCCACGCGTCTCTTTTTACATGATATTACATATTTATATTATGTATATTATGAAAATTGAAAAGTATAGACTGTTACGCTTAATTTTTTCCAACCAATAGTCATACCTACCTATTTTTTTTATGCAACCCGTATAATATTCACCGAATCAAATTTTATTCGTGGCGATCATTTTACTTGGTCAGTTATTACTTCTCTCCCCGTGATAATGATATATCGTATTATAATTATATTATATTATTATGTAAGTGCATTTATAGATAGCATAGATACAAAACGCCTATTATATAATTTAATAGTGACAATAAGTCGCGATGAGGTGTAGTATACAGGGCGATGTGGTTTGGGGGAGTGTAACGTAATTTTGAACAAAATATTAATTGTCCGTTTTGGAGACTACCATATTTTATACTGTTTGGGCCACTGAAATTATTTTTACCTACGTCAGCGAATATGCCATGCCAATACACGTATATTGCAGTCAACAGTGAATGCAATTTAATTTTTTTAATTTTTGACTGTACATTATTAAATTACAACAGTACTATTAAACAGTATATCTTATTAAAACTATATAGAATCCATCGTTAATTTTGTGTTATTTATATTACATGGGATTTTATTTTATTTTTTAATTGAAACTGTTCATTACGACTTTATACATTGTACAATTTAAATTAATTTATCTATAAATTCATAATTATTCGTCTAAACGGTATACGCCCATAATCTGTACCTATACTCATAAGAAAACCACCGCGATGCGCAGAAACATAATATAATTGTCCGACTATTATATAGGTACCTATATATATATATATATATTAAATATTATGTTTAACCCTTTTGGGAAAAGTTATTATTTATATTGTGTTATAAACGATGTTTAGATTATCGATAATATATAGAGCAATGTTTTTGAATCGCAATAAATAAATTAGGTGAACATAAAAATATTTTTTTTTCTTGTTCTTGTAAATCATGTATAAAGTTATAAAATATTGTAAAAAACGAATAAATCATCGTCTGTAAAATTGATTGATACGTATTATACTATGTCATATCTATATGCCGATGTTTGAAATTGATTATTATTATTTATTAATAAAACAACATGAAATTACTGTTATGACGTTAATATAAATATTATGTTTTGTATATAAATTTCTTCAAAATGATAAGTCCAGTCCTGTTTCGCTAACCAACTAAACCTATATATATACGCTGTATAATAGTATATTAATTTGCAGTGGTTAGCCATTAATCAGTGGCTACCATATTTTTTAAAAGTATATATGGTGTGAAAGTGTGTGAAAATTCTCATGTCGCGTCATCCATTGAGCCCGCGAGCCGTTTCAAAACCGCTACAACTGCGACCAAAATCGTATTGTGCTTATATACACATATATATGTGACTTAAACTTGTACTTGGTCTGTGGCTGCAGCTAGGAAGAGGTGGAGCTGTGTCGACTACGGTCATATGTATTAAATTTCCAAGCGATGCCGACACAAAACAATAATCAACAATCGTGATATTATATATTATTATGGAGGTACCAATATGGTCTACTCTATACAGTAAATATAATATTGTACCTAATTATAGGTAGGTACCTATAAGGTATATAAATTGCACGCACATGCAATGTGTATACATATATATGTATTTACACGGTTTTCGGCAACCGTCAAAAATCATTATAATTTTGTATCACAAGATTGTCATATATCGACGAGTAGACGATATTTTGCTCGACGGCTGCCCGGTGGAGACAATAAATGAAAAACCACTAAAATATTTGTTGTTATAATATATAGGTAAACAATGATCGCCTGCATGCGATATACATAATCGATCATCTATATGCTGTTTATATATAATATATATACATATACGAATGGTGTGTATACGTATTTGGAGATATTCATATATATTCATCATACTGAAATAATAATAATAATTACCATTGTTATTGTTTGATTCTCTCAAAATCCGCACAGGCAGGTATACTCAATATATCTATATTATAGTACCTATAAACATAGATGCGGTCATTATAATACTGCAATACACGCGTCAGGTACCTCTATGGTATGCATTTGTAGGTTTGATTCACCTACATTCTATGTTTTTTTCGCTATTGGATGCAATGCACGAAATATTATTTAATTATTTATTAATTTACATGAGTAATCATTTACGTGTAGTTAACATACACACTATATTATTATAATATGTGTACAATAGGTATGTGTAATATGAGTCGGCGCCTTTTGCGCGTGTGCTGTTGTAAAATTATATTTGCCGATGTTTACCTATATTATTAGGTCTAAACGCATAAGAGTTTTATAATACATATATGCGTATACCCGCGAGCCGGCGAAAAACGAAGACATTCGGTTAATTTATTTTGTTACAATTTTATTTTATCTCTTGATATTATATATTCTTACTATTGGCCTATATTTGTCCACTGCTGAACAGACAGCAAGTCTTAAAAAAAAAATAATTTTTTTTTTATTTCTGGTCTACAACAGTCTATATGGACTTTTGAGAAAAATTATTCGTGTATTAAAGTATTAAATATATTTTCTACTTCGATAATAACATAATATAATATTGATAAAATTAATTTAAACCTCGACAAAATATACCTATTGGTTTTGCAATCATTCAATAACTGACGTTTTATACCTGTTGTATATAGATATCTTTATTATACATATACCTAATATGCATTTAATACAAAAATATTCGTATAAATAATTGTCGCAGAGATCACTCGCAATGTGAACATTAAAAAAAAAAAAAAATTAAAAATAAGAATAACCATCACATCGCACTCGATTTTAAATTGGATTAAAATATAGCAACCGATGCAATATAGACGCGGTGCGTAACATTACAGATATATATTGTTTAGTATTGTTGTTCAAATTTCGATGTGAAAGTGAGATAAGTACCTACAAGTACAGCAGCGGCACACGTCAATGTTTCTCGTTGCATAATATGTTCATGATAAATATATATTGTCTTTTGTGAAATGTACAAAGACCTCTAATATTTATATTTGGATTTTGGACACGGTGTATATTATACATGTATAATATTATACGAATATAGCACGTGTTGCACAACTCGAGTGCTAAAATACAAAATGCAAAGTATCCTTTGCACAATATAATGCAATAATAATTCATTATGTTTACACAGTGTTGGAACGTTCACTAAAAAAAAGGGACTCTTATAATTGACGTTCGTGTTTTTTTCAAATGAACGCGTTCACGTTCATTTGAAAAAACGATGAATGCTCTCGCCAGGTCGCTTATAATTTTAATTGTGATAAGAAAACATTATCATAATAATCGATCGATATATTTTAAACAAATATATTTTATTAAATGGCAAATAAATTGAGCGTCTCAAAAATCGTTCGGTCTCGTTAAAATATAAACGTCGTTCACGTTCGATTCGAAAAAGACGAGTGACTTTCGCGTATCGTTCACTAACCACGAACGTCAACTCGTGAACTGCGTTCTTTCCTGCAAACGCTGTATTTGTACATAATATATAGTTGCAGGTTATATACATAATATATAGGAGGTACCTGCGTATTAAATATTAATGGTATATTTACTATCCGGACTACTTGTCGGCTGTGTAAAGTTTTAAATAATATATATTATGTTTATGTATAAATAAATAGATATAGATATAGACGGATACATATAGCGCATATTATTATTTATTAATATGAGAGTGTTGTGGGTACATCACATAACATTAACATCCGCGTAACACCAGCACTACATAATCGCTGTGGCATAATGATATTATGTCCGACAACTCTATCATGATTAGTGTTGGCCAGCGATATTTTTTTAATAATCGATATCGTATTTATTTTTCTGATATCGTATCGCGATACCGGAAAAATACCGATATCGACATGGATTTAAATTTTCTCATGATTACGACAAGTTACATTTTAAACAATTTAGTTTATTGAAAGCATGTTAAAAGTATAGAATACATATTATATATTAATATGTGACGAGTGAAAATTAATTATCAATTATAAATTATTTTGTACTAACTGAAAAGTATTCATTGAGTATTTATTTATAAAGAATTTATTAAACAAATTGTATTGGACATGGCATTACGAGTTACACCCAAATAACTATGATTTTCCAGTGACGTCCAATCAATTGTTATACAAACATGTGGAATATTTTTTAAGAAACATTTAAAATTGTCTCTTTCTTTTAGTGCAGTCTGTTCAACAAGTCTAGTTATTGTTTGTTTACTTGGAACAATATATTCAGATACGGCCATTTCCATAAATTCAAGAAAACCTTCCTCTTCTATTATACTTATAAGTCTTAAATCTTTAATAATAAATTTCATCAGGCTTTTTGTTAGTTCCTTAGCACGTTTAGTTTTATTTGATAATTTGTATGAAGTTTACTTAAAATATGGAATTAAACTGATGGACGTACTTGATTTTGCACTTGAACATTGCTGAAAATGTGATATGAGATTAGTCGTATTTCCACTATAACCAACAGGACATATGCACTTTTTACAAAAAACTTGATTTTTATTTAATATAATTCCATTATCATTAACTTTAAAACCAAAATGTTGCCATATATTACTCCTAGCACCTGACAACGGTATTAATTTAAAGTTCTCACTAATTATGTTTCATATAAATATAAAATTATTAATTAATAACGAAATGAAATCCCGTAAGCTTTATTGTTCCGAGCCGATATCGCGATATTTTCGATAATAATTTTTAGATTAACGATATCGAAATTATTCGGAAAATACCCACGATATCGATATCGTTGGCCAACACTACTTATTATTATTTATTATTACCATGATTGAAATATACAAGGTTATTGCATATATACCCCCTCTCAATCAAATATTCGATGATAAAAACAAAAATGGCAGCGTAAAGGGAGCCAATAATAATCAATTTTTATGCGAGCGTATTATTCATGATAAGAAAAATTGATATTTGTAATTTGTGATATCCCTTTACGCAGCCATTTTGTTTCAGATGATTACAATCCGAGTCGATATTCAATATAACCTGTATATTTCAATCATGATTATTACCAACAACAAATAAATCGCGTTGTGAACATCTATTTGTGGCCTGGTGTGCCCCGGTGTTTACATTCAGTTGCGTACGCGTTCAGAGTGTACGCAGCACGCTAGAGGTGTTACTAGTCCTCGGATGGGTGACCACGCGGGATTTTTAGTAACAAATCCTTGGAACGCGTACACATGCTCCGACCCAACGGTACCGTCCCACACAGTAAGAAAACCGGCTAAAACCATCATGCAGTTGATGCCATAAAAATGACAAAAAGTATATCAATTTGATCACTCGGCGAAAATATACAAGGCTTACACTATTACAATAGTATAGGTATGATATGTAATACAAATTTAAAAATAATCCAGTATTTTTTTTTTTAAATTGCATTTGGGTAAAAACAAATACTTACCGCATAATGCATATATGAATATGAGTATCCCACCTTCATAAATGGATATAATAATAACAAGCAACCGTCAAGATCTCAGTTATATAATATTATGTGTATAGGTACAGTTTTCTTTATCTGGTATGTTTTTTTTGAAACCGTTTTATTTATTTAACCGAATGCCTTACTTGATACAGAGAATTTTTATATAAATACACCACACACCTACTCTTAACGGATCTACCTAAATATATATATAATAATAACTGAAGCTATATGAAGCATTACAATAACATAATAATAATTTTGGCCACGATCGGACAAAGAAAAACTATGGTAAAATATAAACATAACATAAATTGTAAATATTAAAACCTTACTTAATTCACATTATTATATACATTATTTTTTTATTTTTAACGGACACAAATCCAAGTCGTGTTATTGCTTTATTTTATATCAATATATTTTTATTTATTTTTGAGTGCAATAAAGTAGGTGATGTTGGGTTCTTAATTTAAATTATTTAATGATTTAATATATACCTATAAACAGT